TTTTTTTTTTTTTTTTTTGGGTTATTTTTATTTCTAAAGGAAAAGAGCTCCTACCGGTCCTTCAACTCCCCGACCCCCGAAAGTCGCAGCGCGTTAACGGCCGCGACTTTTTTTTTTTAGCTGGGCGAGGCACTGGTGGTTCAAGTTAGTGATTGCACCCATTGACCACAACGATGGAGATTCCTACGCCTGTTGTTTTCCATCTACCATAGAGCACTTAAACTATTGTGTTGGGGTAACAAAGGGTTTACTGTGGACCAACGGTCGGAAGAAGAAATTTTGACCAGTTGTAGGTCAGCGTATTATGCAATTCAAGCTCGGACCTTGGTGCACGAAGGGGAGGTTGGGTGTGCATACGGAATCCCAAAATACAAGGATGTTAATAGGTGGAGACCTATAGCACTCTCTTTTTCAGACCCAAGCGTGAGAGCCTGCAAGCTGGTAGCTAAAGCGACCAATGGGTTACTATGGAGAATCCCAGAAACCAGCCACTTCAATTTGAAAAGTACGAACTTGTTAAAAAAACGCATCATGAATCTAGACGAAAGGGTGAAAAAGATGACCACCGGCACGCTGCTCTCGTCCAGCGATCAATGGGTTACTATGGAGATGTTTACGAAACTGCCCCATTTGGAGATCATTAGGGCAGTAGAATGGGTGTGCAATTTCTTTTTTGCAAAAGGACACAATGCCATCCGTGTCAAGAAATCAGGTAAAGGGATTGCACTGGAAAAAAGGCACGGTGGAGAAGACTGGGTTTGTCAAATTCGATTTCGGACATTCCTTTTCCAAAATCTCATCTCTCATTATCCGACAGATTGTAGGAATTCCAATGGGAAAATGTTATAGTCCCGCCCTTGCATGCCTTCTGTTTCTCAATTCTTTAGGCAAGGACCGTCGTCCGGTCGCCGATTTTCGGCTCGTGGATGATGTTTTTTTTTTTTTTGTCCTTCCCAACTCCTCTCAGGCAATCCTTGACAAGACAAGGGTTATCTTTACCGAGTTCAGTCTCATTTACAACCAGAATCTCACTCTAGTAAGGACCGATGATCGGTTCAGGGAATTTGAATTTTTGGGATGTAGAGTGGTCACTCAGGGTCATTCGCCCACGGTACACTGCGAAGCCAAGATGAAAACCAGACTGATGTTTGGGACAAGGGCAATATCACATTCCAAACCACTTAGGATTACTTGTCGTATGGACCCAAGACACAAAAGATAGGTGTCATCAAATGCCACCTCCACAGGATTTCCTCTTGGTTGAATCGGGTCAACCGGCCCAGGCTCGTTCATCCCAAAATCCATGCTCGTAAACGCGGAGCACTTTCAAAAGTTTTAGGAGGTACTGGTGGTTTAAGGTGTATTCTTATCACCAAACGCTGCAATTGTAGCGGACCCACCAGGTGTGGTGCTCCGCTAGTGACAGAGATGGAGATGGAGGAAGAAGGGGGAGCGAGATGGCACAACGCAGCTCCCCACGCCAGRCTCCAACGCACGTACTCCAAAAATGTGCAAGTGAGGAATSGCTGAAAACAGACARTGGCTGGGGTATACCCCAGCGGACTGACGGGACTGGACTGGACTGGCTGGTACCGACAGAGGTACCGGCCTGGACTGGCCTACCCCGAATACAACACAGGCCTGTGAGAACAGGCCAAGGGGCTGGTCTCACAGGCCANTGTAGCGGACCCACCAGGTGTGGTGCTCCGCTAGAGACAGATGGAGATGGAGGAAGAAGGGGGAGCGAGATGGCACAACGCAGCTCCCCACGCCAGGCTCCAACGCACGTACTCCAAAAATGTGCAAGTGAGGAATCGCTGAAAACAGACAGTGGCTGGGGTATACCCCAGCGGACTGACGGGACTGGACTGGACTGGCTGGTACCGACAGAGGTACCGGCCTGGACTGGCCTACCCCGAATACAACACAGGCCTGTGAGAACAGGCCAAGGGGCTGGTCTCACAGGCCAACCCGAGGTCCGCTACAGCAATGGTTGAAGAATTGGTCCAGACTTTCGGATAAGCTTGTGAGGTGGTTTGTTGTTATAGACACTTATGACTTCGACCTGAAGCATAAAAAATGCAAGTACAATCGGGTGGCTGATGCATGGTCTCGATGACAAGATAATTTTTCAACAGTTTTGTCGCAAATAAATGTGCGTGATAAGTTGGTGGATAGGATCGCTGCAATGTACTCTAAAGACCCTGTCTATAGCCAAATAATTGCAGATTTTGAAGAAGACCCCAATTGTGTTCCCGATTATACTATGCAAAAGGGACTTCTCTACGTTGTGAGCAGAGGGGTGTAACAGTTGCGGTTGTGTGTTTTGGCAAACAGACAACTGCAGCTCGATGTATGGGGAGAGTTTCATGATTCTCAAGGTCACTTTGGTTAGAAGAAAACGCAGTTGCGACTTCAGGAGCGGTTCTATTGGCCCACGATAAGAAATGACATCGCAAAGTACGTGAAAAAGGGAAGAGTGCAAAGACCATACGGTATTTTGAAGCCACTACGGATCCCTGACAGACCGGGCAAATCCA